ATGATGAAGGGATTGTGGAAAGTGAAGTCCCAACCATGAAGAAAAAGAGAGGTAGCGTAACTGTTCGCCGTGAAAATTGGCAAACAACCGCTGGTCTTACAAATCAAAAAAAAAAATGTTTTACTTGCAGGATTGACCACACAAATCCTAGGACATGTGCTAATTAATCTTAAATAAAGTTTATAAAAACTATGAGTACTTCGACAGAGTTCATGATAAAGCAACTTATCTCAAATTTAAATGAATTTAGGTGACAAGAAGTAAAATCGAAGTACTGGTAAATGATGAAGACAAGAACTTGCATAAAGAAAGAATAAACTCTTAAAGAAAGAGATTTATTAAATTGCATTTAAATGAAAAGATGGTGTTACATCAATTTACATTCTTACAAACTCATTTCTATTAATACACGGGTACTTGGAGTATACTGATTGAACACACACAAACCCTAACATTAAGACTTGTTATTTATAATAATAATAAATAACTGCCATTAACGGCTAGCAAACGAAATCGAGACAAGTGTCGCTATGCATGCCTTCGAATCCTAGAAGCGCTCCATGTGTCTCCTTTAAGGAATAGATGAAAATGGACTTTCCCTCTTTTATTTGAATTCAAATGATCTTGTCGAAATACCCTTAGTGACACCTTTGTCGAATCAAATCTTCCAACTGCTGAGAAATATCTCTAAGTCTGTAACATAGATTCTCCTGGCGAAAGGACGCCTTCGACTCCCATTCCAAAATATGGCTCCAGTCGAAATAACTAAATTTCTTCAGGAACTCTATTTCCTACTTTTAATTCCATTCAGGCCTCGAAATTAAGAGCCAACAAATTTCCCCCAAAAAATTTCATTTTCGACATCAATGAAGAAAAAGACATTTTTTGATAGTATCATTCGACGCCTCGAACGACTTTTGCATGTTTTTGATGAATTCGATTACATCTTCTTGGTCGACATTTGGCAAAGGTATAACTTTGATCCATTTTGTAAAATAGTCAATACCTACCCAAATGTACCTTTGATTTTTGAATGACACTGGTCGAATTTCTCCAATCAAATCCAAAGCCCAGCCCCTAAAGGGTCATAGTTTAACTATGGAATGTAATTCACTCGCAGGAACATGTTGTATACCTGTTGTACTTGGCACTCTTGACACCCTTTAGCGAATTCGATACAGTCTTTTAATATGGTGGGTCAATACATGCCTTGTCGAAACAACAACCATTTCATCTTATAGCCTACCTGGTATGCCCCACATGCACCACTATGGACAGTTGAAAGGGCTAAATATGACTCTGATTCACTAAGGCACTTAAGTAAAACTCTCTCAGGAGTCTTTTTAAACAACTCATTCCCTAAAAGAACATAACTTAAAGCACGATACCTGATTTTTCGCTATGTGAATGTCGTCGAATTTTGTAGATACTCCACTATTGGTTTCCTTCGATCTCCATCCATCAAGCTATCTATTTTGAGGATTTCAAAATTATCTTTATCAGCGCACCCTAGCTTTGCCGTTTCCAAATCTGATAGGGACAATCTGGCTGACACAACTCTTCCTCTAACTTCGACTGCATCTTGTAATTTTTCTTTCGAGATTTTATACCCTGAAGCAATCTGGGCTAAATCATTAATCACTTGATTCTCCAATCGAGGTATGTGTTGAATACTAACCATTTCAAACCTTTTCGGTAATCGATTGGCTATTACAAAGTACATAATAAGATTTTCTTTAACGCATTTGTACTCTTTTGTAAATTTTTTTATGACTAACTCTGAGTTGCCCAGTATTTCGACTCGAGTTGTCCCCAATTCCAACAATATCTCAAGTCCAACTATTAAAGCCTCATATTCAGCCTCATTATTTGAACAAAGACCTTTGACTTTATACTTGAATCTTGTTGGAATTTTGTCGAGAGAAATGATCAACACTCCTACACTGATTCCATCTCTATGACTAGAGCCATCGAAATATAATTTTCAAGGCTCAAGTTCGAGATAGGTTATGTTATTTTCATTTATTGAGTGGTCGACTATAAAGCCTGCCACCACTTGTCATTTAACAGCCTTTAGAGGCATATATGTTAAGGAATATTCAGTCAAAGCTAACGCCCATTTACCAATTCGACTATGCAAAATTGATCTGGACAACATATGTTTAATGATATCGAAATAGGACGAAACATAAACATCAACTGGTTTTATATAATTCTTTAACTTTGTACAAGAGAAATACAAGCATAAACACAATGTTTCAACTATGTTATACCTAGTTTCTGCATCATTTAAAACTCTACTAAGATAGTAAATGGCTCTTTCGACGCCATTTTCATCCTCTTGAGCCAACATGCTCCCTAAGGTTTTCTCTGACGCAGATATATATAACCTCGTGCTCTTATTCCTACAAGGTGGTGACAGAATTGGAGGATGACTCAAGTAATCCTTAATTTTGTCGAATGTTTCTTGTTGAGGTTTCCCCCATTCGAACCCTTCCTTATTGAGTCGAAGCAAAGGTGAAATGCTTGAGTCTTTCCGCTGAGATTTGATATGAATCTTCTCAAAAAGTTAATCTTATCCAGCAGTGACTGTAATTCCTTCTTTGTCGATGGCGCTTTCGCCTCCATTATGGCCTTGGTATTATTCTGGTTTATTTCAATTCTCTTTTTGTGGACCACAAAACCTAAGAAATCTTCCGCCTACACACAGAAAGCACATTTGAGAGAACTCATTTTTAGACCATGTCTTATCATCCTTTCGAAAGATTTTCGAAGATGGTCAATATGATTCTTCTCTGAGATAGACGTAACAACAATATCATCAATGTATATTTGCATAAAAGTTTCTATATAATCATGGAAGATCGAATTAATTGCCCTTTGATACGTTGCCCCAACATTTTTTAAACCAAAAGGCATCACTACCCATTCGCAAGTGCCTAAGGCCCCAGGGCATCGAAAGATTGTCTTCGAGACATCCTCTTCAGCAATAAATTTTTTTTTAATGAAGCCTTATTTGGAGCAACATTTGATAGTGGCTAATGAAGCCTTAATGATATCACTGACATATATCATTTAATTCAATTTGCCACATTGATGTCACTTCTATTTTGAAAAATATTATAGAATAAATTCTACTAAGTAGTAGCTTAATTATAAACTTATGAAATTTATGAGATTTGTACTAAATCACATGAGTAATATGTTGTTATTTGTTTGATGTTTTGATAAATTAATATGCATTATGTTAATATTTTTTCACATTCTACACCAATATTTGCTATAAGATACTTTTGAATTTAATATGGTAAATGTATTTGAAGGTTTTACACATAATTTTCTATTTATAAAAAAGTAAATTTTCTTTCAATGTATAAAAATTAGTAGATTTCAATTTTTAAAAAAAAAGTATTCATGGGTATTTGTAAATACCCGCGGGTATTTCAAAATCCACATATACCCGTCTGACGGATATCCGCACGGATATGAAACGGGTATGGATATCATTCTTATTAAACGGGGTGGATAGCGGAAGACTAATATCCATACTCATTGATATCCATTGTCATCCATATATTTAGGTACCCATGTGGTATAAGTACAAGTGTTGGTACACACATGGATATGGGCTCAGAGACGGGAATTTTCTAAAAATTAAAAATAAAATTGAAAATAAAAAATTCTAAAAATAAAAAATTTCAACAAATTATATGGACTTAAAATGATAACCAATATTTATAATACATATATTTGTATATTTCAAAACCTCTATCTATTGGTGGAGAAATCTATAATATTTATAATTATAAATGAAAACTAGAGTCAAATCCAATAAGTCAAGTTTTGGTATATTTTCTTGCACATGCCAAATCAAACTTGATGCACTAAGATCTATATAATTAATTACTGAAAGTTCATATAATTAACTAATAAAAGTCCATATAATTTGTGAAGTATTTGTACACCATTTTAGGTAGTTAGAGAATTTGTAAACAATTTTTTTTTTCATTTTGAAATACAAAATTTTGAATCTTTTGGTTTAAAATATAAAATTAGTTTATAACGTATATATTATAAAACATGAAAAGAGACAAAAACATATTAATTTAACAAATAATGAAATTTGGATAACGAATAACTAAACCACATGAAAACCGGTTTATATTTGGATAACAAAATGGATAATCAAATTTTAAAAGTGGAACAATTTGGATACAAATTTGGTTAACAATAACCGGTTTTTTTTATACACCCCTACTCTAGTATTCGATGCTCCTATATAATTATCAATTGAACTGTTTTAACCGGACATAATTTTAGTATCAAAGCAAAGCAAAAGTATAAATATATTAATTTTTAGTGTATTCAGCCAAAAATATATGTATACTTTTGTATATAACATTAATTTGTAATATCAAAATAGAAAAGAAAAAAAAAAGTATATATAATTAGTAAATGATAATTTCTTGTTATAATACATTTTAACAAATTTAATATTTGTCACATATCCGTTAATAATATTTTTATTTAAAGAAACAGTCAGTAAGGATGTGTTTGCTTTGAGTGGTGCAATAAACATACTTATCATTTTTATTTAAAGAAACAGTCAGTAAGGATGTGTTTGCTATGAGTGGTGCACTAAACATACTTCTCATCTATTATTGTTTTTTATTTAATGTTTATTTTGCAATAGTTTCGATCCCATTTATACGTATATTATTCTTTCTTTTATTTTTTTGGTCAAGAGATATAATGACTTTCTGAAGCACCAAAAGTCCAAACTTGACTTCCAATGCATCTAGTTTTTTTATTTTCCAGGTTAAAATAGTATGTGTTAAAATAAAAATACTAATGTGATAGTTATCCAGAAATCATGTAAATGATTGAAGAAATTGAAAATCTTGAATCAAATCAAAATAAAAAAGAAAGAATCAATAACCCAAACAGCCGGATGAAAGATGATAATTTAAAATACGGCTTTCTGTTCGATAAACCACTGCTCATGTTTTTTTCTTCAGCTTCTGTCCCCGCAAGCCATTCCAGAAAGCAGCTGCATTAACCACCTTTTTTCCAGGAAGCTGAAGCTCCAATACCTGAGTTACAACATCACAAAATTCAAAAAGTCCTCTTTTTCATATTAAACTCAGTGCTTCCTCAAATAATTATTCCTCCAAAACCCTTATCAAAAAGTATCTTTGAATGCAAGTCATTATCATTAACCTGCTTGATATGATTAGGAAAATTTTCATATTATCATTACAGACTTAGAGAGAGATTATGCATTCAAGTATCAAAATGGGCGTATAAGTGTGTGGTACAAAATTTGGATCCTGCATTTCAAGTTACAAAAAGCCCTTACAAGCAATGGTGGAACGAGAGACCTGGTTCAAGGGTGCAAAAATAAATAAATTCAAGACATGTCGAGTTAAGGGTGCAAAAAAAAATAAGAGAGTCCAAAATACAATTTATATAAAAATATAGGTGCATCATCAACTTCATTGTGAGAATACACTGTTGCATTGAATTTCAATATGCTACTGCTCAAACCAGTACAACACTTTTGGCCTTGAATTACTGTTTACTACTGAACAATGATGTTTAAAAGCAAATGGACAACTTCTAGTTTACAATCTGAAGAGTGGCTTTGGAAAAAATTTTAATTTAGTAATTAACAAGAAATAAACCATTTTTGTCTCATTTCCACCTCTAACTTGGAAGGAAATGTTTTTTTACTCGCTTCATTTTTTGTTTAAATAGTTTTGAATCAAATCTAAAAATAAATAAAAAATGATATATAATCTTTTTCCAAAAAATTATTTGGTGCAAAGATAAGAAAATCACAGGCGGTCAAGATCCGTGCACTTGAAGGTAGCATCGGGTGGACATGTTAGATAATAAGAACAAAACAAGAGCTGTGTTTATATTTCGTGAATATCAAAAGTGAATAAAACAGGACAAGAGGCAGGCAAAATGATACATTTTGGTTCCATCTAAAATGGTGAAACCAAAAAGAACGGCATAGAACAAGTATTTCCATTCAGTTTTGGCCGCATGCAAAATTATACAGAAGAGTCATTACTCAAATTGTTTGTAGATTTACTGACACTGAAGAACCTAATCTGTATAGGAATAAGCGAGTGCTGCTCACTAAAACAGAACAAAAAATTAAAGAGAAATGGCAGTTTAGAAGATCAATTTTGGGAGTAATTCTCTTTAAGTTTCCTAGGAAACCTAACACATGTTGATTGTAGAAATTGACTTGGTATACAGATTACAACTAAATCCTGTAACCTCTACCAGAAAGCACTTGTCTAGGTGGTGCAACTATGACTTAGCTATGCATTGATAAGTGGAACTTCATGATTAATTCTCAAAACTAAACATACCTCAAGTGTGGTGCCCCTTCCACATGGAAACACCAATGCACCATTGACAAATGCAATGTCATCTGCTTCATTGAACTGCACACTTTCATGGGTACAAACTCGTGTGGTTATGACTTTAATCTCCAAAGTTTTCTTCTCACCATTTTTGTCAACTACTAGAATCTGCGTTCTAGATCCTGGCCATCCTGAAAATGCACGAACCTAAAATTGTTGTGACACAACTAAAAAGTTCAAATGAAATCATTAAGTATACCTTATTATGGAGAACAGACGCTTCTTGATCAAAGAATAGCCATGATTCATCTGGACCTATCTGCACAGAGTATCAAAACCAAAACAAGATCAATTCCTTGTAAGGAACATAATTTATCAATTGTATATAGTGGAGTTGTTTTTTGCTTTTTCGTTTTGTGGACAATCGGATATAAAATTGAAAGAACATAAAGGAATATCACAATTTCTCACCAATTTGACCTTTTCACAATTTCAAGACCAGTTAATCCTATTACTCCTCAAAACAAGATAGGAGAACTTGGAGTCAGTGTTCTTAGGGTTTATTTTCATATGTCCTGTTTTTTGAACTCTAATACATTGCATTATCAGCACAAAAATCCAAAACGGGCAATAAGTTTAAATCTTTCATTATGCATTTTGCAGACTTGTAGAGCTCTTTCAAGTTACAACTCTTGCACCTAATAAGTACCTTATTAGGAGGTGTGTTCAGAAACCAACAGTAGAGCAGTGAGGCTTTTTTCTTTATAGGAAGTAGGAACACAAGGTGTCCCCACATCCTAGCATGGATTACGACAAAATTTGTTTAGTAATCTTGGTTTGAAAACTCTAATTCATAACTAAAATGAATTGTCTACTTTGCATAGAAGTTTTGTTAGGAATATGGATGCTAAAAGTAAGCCAAATGTGTTTTATGAATAATCATCTAGAGGGAACTTATACTATTTCATGTAAAGAGATGGAACAACCTTGTTGCATTTTTGATCCATCAATGTGGTTTCAGAAATAGAAAAGATTCCTAAAAAGTAAAAATGAAATATCAACAAGTCCAGCAAGCAACATAGGGCAAAAGCAATAAAGGACCTGATATATGTCAAACTAATAATAATATCAATAGAAAATCATTTCTTCTTCTGTTCTGAGTAGCATAATCAAAACTAACAGTACCTTTGGTGCCAATGTAGCCGTAGAATCATCTTGGGGTTGTGCCTTCACTCTTGCTGATCCATCAAATATAGACGGAAGTTCCCGAATCAGAAGTTCAGACCCTGCTTTGTCAAATAAAGATAGGAACTGATTCTTAACAATGACTTTCTATCAAAAGGTCTGTACTCTGGATAAAAACCTTAGTATAACCCTAGGAGAAAAGAACGTAAGAATACAAAAAATAAATTAATATCCATGGAAAGAAGAATCATACCTTTATGAAACAGGAGTTCAAGTAAATCGGGTGCCTGCATATACATTAATGAATCTAAAGATTTGTTAGTATGAGGGAATAAACGCAAAAACTTCCTCAAAAGTCAAAAAGTAAAGCAATGATATCCTCTGAAGGGGGGATAATGTATATGATGGAAAGGTAGTACATAATTTGCTAAATATTCTGATCATGTACCTAAGATATTATTAATACAATCAAAGGAGCACAATCGTCAATATAATATGCAGCATTTGTCACAAGTATTCATTGAAACCACCATTTGAAACACTCTAGTTCCAAGATTATAGATTATATTTTATGGTGAGCAAAAATTCATTAATAAAAACAGTTATAATAACACAAGTAGTGCCAAAACCAGCAAAAGAACAAGTGCCCCCAAGACCTTTTATTTTTGTAGCAAACAGAAACAGAAGAAAATGATACCTTTATATGATGATCAACTTGAACGGTTTCAGTCGCAATGATAGGTCCAGCATCGAGTGCACGAACAGTGAATGCTAACGACACTCCAGTTTCTTTAACACCATCCTAGTATACAAATGAATATGTAAACCAGAAATAACCGAGTGAAATGAAAGCAGTAAAAGCAGTAAAAGCATTCAGAAATTAGAATTGACATAACATGAAGGAAAAAAAATGAACCTGCAATGCTCTTTGAACAGGAGCAGCACCACGATACATTGGCAAAAGGCTAGGGTGAATGTTGACAGTTCCTGAAATAATATGAAGTAAATTTGAGCATTAGATTCATATCTTATACTGATAGTAGTCATAGTCTCGTTAAACCAGTTCAGTTGATAGTTGTGCAGAGACATCATATACTTATAACAATAAGAAGAAGAATGAATGACTAACCGAAAGGAGGGATATCTAGAAACTTGGTAGGTAATATATTTCCATAAGCTGCTGTAATGCATAGCTGCGGCTGCAAAGCTTTTAAATCGGACAAGAAAGTATCCTGCAAGAAAATTGAAGAGAGTGAGTAATTGAATTCAGTATTAAAATTAGAAAGAATAGTTAGTCAGTTAGTTAGTTACGTCTCCGGCGCGTTGAGGAGTGAAAATAAGATTCTGAGAGAAGCCTCTGTCAAGAGCATAGTTGGCCAAGGGAGAGTGCAAAAGCTTTTTCCCTCGGTCCCTTCTAGCGGCTGGCTGAGTCACAATAGCCGCAACCTAAACAAGCATAGATTACCAAAATCAGCACTGAGTGAGTGTGAAAGAAGAAGAAGAAAAGGAATACCTCAAAGGAAGAATGTGGAGAAGCAGAAGCGGTGAGAAGTGCGTCGAGGACTATAGTGGAGACCTGAGGTGCTCCCAAGAGAACAACGGGCTTCTTCTGGTTGGTGGTGGTGGAAGTGGAAGAGAACGACGCGCTCTGACACTGCACACACCATAACCGCCGAATCATCCTTCTCCGGTGGCTCTTATCTTAATCTAATCTATCATGTTCATTTCTTTTGTTTAAATTAAAAGAACCTAACTTTGATTTTTTTTGGGTCTATAAATCTAATACGATTTTCATTCATCATGTCAATCTATCTTCAATTTAAAAAATATGTATATTTAAATTTAATAATAGTTAATTTTAAAACTATGTATAATTTGTTGATTGTACAAAAAATACATATTTTTGAATTTTTTGTCAATTTAATAAATAATTTTTTTAATAAAAACATCGATGGACCTATGAACTATCTAAAAATTTATAACATATGATTAATAATTTGTAATAATGAAAATTAATGAAACGATTTAATAAATTTAATTATTCAATTAATTGATAAATATAAAATAAAATAAAAAATATTCAATACATAATTGTTTTATTTTTAATTAAAATAAATTATAAATAATAAAAGTGAATTTTAATTAAAAAATAAAAACAAAAACAAATAAAAAATGATAAATTATAAGATATAAAATATTATTCAAAATATAGTCTAAAAAATAGGTTATAAACTAATCATATATAATTAGTGAAAATGTTCTAGTAAGAGTGTTTAAAGATTAAATTTAAAATAAATTGCACTCTTAATACTTTTAGTTTTGGGTTGTTAAAAAAAACGAATATGGAGAAATTTTTTGATTTCTTAAACGAATATGAAGAAGGAGAATTGGGTGTGATTTTTACTATTTTTAATAAAAATATAATAAATATATAAAAAAATTTACTATTTTTTAATTAAAATATGATAAATATATACATTTTTATTTCACATATACAATTTTCTTTTGTTTTCATTCTTTAAACAATATTTGAGTACATTTATCATAAAAATATGAAAAAATATAATCCCTGAAAAATTGTATTTAAATTTCCTCCTATAAAAATACTTATAGAATATTAGAAAAACAGAAAAGAAAAAAAAAAAACTAAGAATTTTCTTGTTTTCAAATAAATTTACTTTATTTTATAATTTTAAAAAAAAAGGAAAAATAAGAAGAGGGATAAGTTGATATGTTTTGATTTATTATCCATCCAGGCTTATCTTAGGTTTTTCATCATTCATTCATCCATCATCATCCGAATGGCACTTTCTTTAGCCATTAACGTTCCTCCTGTTCGCGATAACCTCCTTCGACACCCACAATTTCAATTCCCTCCAAACCAAGTCAAATTCCCGATTCCCTCCTCCGCCCGAATTGGATGTTCCTCCCCCTCTTCCTCTTTCAATGACATTTCCCTCAAATCGGTTACCCCCAACACCAACAACTCTTTCGTTTGCCGCGCTCGTGCTACCCAGCTCGAAGGTACTCTTTCTTCTCTCATCTCTTATCTTCTGTATGTTTCTTGCATTGCATCACTGCCTTTATTTCACCTATCTTCTGTCCCCAGAAAACCCCCCAAATTAAGTTCCTCACCACTGGCTAGACCTATCTGACTTTGTAAACTTACTGATCTACAATATTTATATGTTTATCTTCATTCACATTCATATTCAGTTTTAGGATATTTCATGATGCATTTGATATAGCCTTAGGCAAAACAGTAACATACATTTAAATTTAATGCTGCACTGCAGTTCCGGCGGAGATCGACCAACCATACGCAGAAACCTATGCTGTAGGGAGAAACATTCGTATGTCTGCTAACAAAGCTCGAAGAGTAGTCGATCAGATTCGCGGCCGTCCATACGAGGAAACACTCATGATATTGGAACTCATGCCTTACCGTGCCTGTGAAGCCGTTATTAAGATTGTGTTTTCTGCTGGAGCAAATGCAGCCAATAACTTGGGTCTAAGCAAATCAAGTTTGGTTATTAGTAAAGCAGAGGTTAATGAAGGCAGGACTTTGAAAAGAGTTAGAGCTCGAGCTCAGGGGCGGGCTGCCCAAATTCTAAAGCGCACTTGTCATATTACCGTTTGGGTGAAAGGTTTGCCTAATGAGACTGTCGTGGAAGCAAATCCCTCTTGATCCTGTTTGAAGACAACAAAAATATGTATCCCTGTTATGAATCTCCTCCAACCTTTACATTTAATGGAAATTTCTGCATTTTGATATTATGTAGTTTATTTAGTGACTTCTACATGAGTGTTGAGAATCTTATAAATGTATTGATGTTCAACTTAATACTAGAATGAAATGTTTTACCATTTATATTTGATATGAATTTATTTTTGTTAGAGTACATTCCTACTAAACTTGGTTTTTAGTTAAAAATCTTAGTAATAAGTTGACACATTACAATAAATAGGGGTGGCAAACACGCATATCCATCCCTTTAAAAAAGGGGCAAGACAAATATGTTTGAGGGTGCGAGTTTAAAACGTTGTCTCGCTCCACATAAAAGTGAGAGCAAGATAAGGAGGTGTCGCTGTTTACGCTAAAAAATAGTCAACAACGGCTAGTCTCTAAATTAAAAAATAGTCAACAACGGCTGGTCTCCAAATTAAGGGTTATTTACAAAATTAACCATGAATCTTAGAATGTAGTGTCAAATAACCTCTTTGTTATTAATTTCCTTATGTTCAAAATAACTACTTTCGACTTGGTCGAAATGTGGTTTCGAGTAAAATTATATAAGAACTTCAACTATTTCAGAATGTGTAAAAGAAGTAATGAAGACTCGAAATGTTGAATGAAAAGACTTGAAAGGAAATGAAAGTAAAGAACATGAATCAGGTGTAAAGTGAAAAACTAGAAACTTTGGATTGAAAGAAGAGTATGGTGATTCATTTGTTCTTACACTCTCTCAATCATTCGCTCGTTTCTCTTAACGATAATACTCTGAGTTTTTAGTGAGATTTTTGTAATACAATGAACCCCTCTATTTCAACATAATGAACTCCTATATATACAAGTGTAAAATAAATACACCTAACGTTTCTATCCTCGGACTTTGCTACGTAAAGCTCTGCATGGAGCCTATCTCCAAACTTCCTCCATGTGTCTCTTCAGAAAGAAACCTTTAGACACTTATTGATATTTGAACGTGATATTGCGCGCCCAAATAACCGCCTTTTTGACCAGACTGTCGTTGTCGTAAGACCTGCATGGTCGAAGTATACTTGCGTCGAGATGTTTCTTACAACATACGAAAATTCTCTAAGTCCAGAATCTTGGTCGAACCAAAACTCATTTTCTTGCCCTTGTTTGCTGGGTTTTTTCCCCTTAGTCGAACATCCCAGCTAACAAATTGCCTCCCAAAAAGGTATATTTTGACGATTCTAGGAGATAGGGGCATTTTTGACCTTTTTCGCCACTATTCACCTAGTGGACTGAGATCACTCTCATTACGACGTTTCTTTCAATCGTCACCTCGAAAGCGTGATATTCCCTCTCCTCGTGCCTTTACTCATCATGGCGTCGAATTTATAGGGTAGGGTTGTTACGTGTAGTATGACTCCCTAACTTCGTCCTCTAAGGAAGGGCCACGTCATCCCCACTTTGTACCAACTACTCAGTTGAAGGGACTGAAAAGTCTTCAACTCTCACTATAAATAGTGCATCTTCTCAAACACTTTTCCAGCACTTTTCAAAATCTTCGTTGCAGAGAACTTTTTTCTCCAAATTTCTTTCGAAGAACTTCCGTTTCTCTACAATTACACCTTCCAACAAAAACGTCAAGGCCTCAAAGGAACCTGTTCCTCAAGCCTACATGCTGAACGAAGTCACCGTTGTAGGAAACTAGAAATATGTTTCAGAACCTCCAAACCTTGAAGAAAGACTCTGAATCTACAGGTCCTAGGTACTCATCCCTTTTACCATTTCTGGAGTTGAACATGTTTTCATGGGTCCTACATTTGACCCTGCAAAGAATCTTACTAAGTTCAAATATTTCTTTCCTGCTTACCGTAGGACAAAATCTGTAGCTAGCATTAAGGAACCCATGGATTTAGAGTATCAAACCACCAATCTGCGAGTTTTCGCTTTGCTCCCCCAACCAAAAAACATAACGACTACATTTCTTGGCTAGATAAAATAAAAGCCAAAATGAGCAATGTATGGAAAAGAACTAGGAATCTTCAACCTAATCCAACTGTGACGGACTGGCTCGGTGTAACGCCCCACATTGCTTTCAGGATTACCGACTGACCCCACAAACCAACACGGGTCTTTTCAGCATGCTTTTTCCTCACTCACATGCTTTCTGGGAAACTTCCCAGAAGGTCACCCATCCCTAAATTTCTCCAAGCTAAGCACGCTTAACTATGGAGTTCTTATGAACGGGCTACCGAAAAGAAGATGCATCTTGTTGGTATAGGTAGTACCAATTAATCCTTATAAGCCTTAATTCAACCATGCAGTCTCATACCTGCATAGCCTCAGGATCCCTCTCATTCGGATGTGAATTCGGTTTTCCCCTAGAAGCTGCTAGGAGTGTCTCATTGTCATGCCTCATGACACCGACAACCACTCCCTCGCCCACGGGTGTTACATGTAACCACCGTCCTCTTTCACCTCAGGTGTTACACTCGGCGTATTGGCAAAACATGTTTGTCGTCTCCCTTTACTACTGGGAGAGCACGACTAACACCTTCTAACTTTATTGTGGAATGTTGACACCCACGCTCTTTGATGTGGCGGCCATTAGTGACATTCTCCCTGATGGTGATAACTTTGACCCCACTGAGTAGGACCATGATAGCATTGAGTTTGATATCAATCGCGTTGGTTTCACTATGTATATCGCAGACTATCACGTTACACACGATCCTGAGGTCATTGCTGAAGAACACAACGCCTTCCTGGATCTATGGCTATCTAGATGTGTTTTCTGCTACAAATCCCTGAAGGTAGCGAGGAGATACTTGACCCTTGCTAACCAATTACATGAAGGAAAAAATGTATGTCTTAACCAACTGATCTTAGGGTCTCTATATGTATCACTAAGAGAAGTCACTGAAGCCCTGAGAAACATCAAACCTAAGGATAATTTTCTGCTTGCTGGATCATTTTGTCTCCTTCAATTGTGGCTTAACGCTACCTTCGAAGCTTCATTGAAGATGGAACGCCCTGACGATGTTGACCTTATCGTCAGCGGCTGAAGTATTGAAGGTGTTCGGCTGAATCTTTTGACTCCTATTGACAAGAGCAGAGTGGATCGGGACGCCTTCACCTTCTATTTAATAATGTTTTCCAAACACTACAACTTCACCTCGACTATGGACCCTTTCACCAAAAGAACTCATGGGTCGAAGTGGTTCATCTGGTCACTTCCAGGCACCGGTGAAAAAGAAAAAGAATCCAAAAAGATATGGTCATCTTTTATGACACCTAAACTTATTTCTATTTGACTTAAGCCTCTTAAAGATCATGTAAGAATCCTTAGTTACCAACCCAACCTAGTAGCATGCCAGTTTGGAATTAGTCAAACCATTCGTCACCCGTTTTTCAGGAAGAAAAGTGAATTATGCCTCAGCATTGTCGACTACTCTGAGGATGACTGGCTCCAACGATTCACTCAACATGCTGATGGTCGACCTACTCCTCCCAGCCTCTTCGGCTTTGAGCTGAATCATTATTGCACCTCAGTGTTTGACACTTGGTGGAGAGCTTATCACGCCCAAGAATTCATGGATGTTGCGATAATACGACAACATCTCACTGATGTTTTTTCTTTTTTGCAGAAAAAATTCACCAAAGGTAAATCGACGCACATCAAAGAGATTCAGGTTTTCCAAAAATACTTTAAAATTATATATGACCTGAATGATTTTAGACGGATGATCAGTGAGGCGGCCAGCACTCTGAAAGACAAATTGCAGGCGAAGCTCCCATATTTAAAATTTCCTGCCTATGTAACAAACAAATATGACTTTGATCTCAAATTTTATGCTCCTAAATTTCCCCATTTTGCAACCAGTGACATGACTCTTTCCTTCGCTCCTTCGTTTCCATGGTGGTTCGCCTGTGGGGCATTTTTGAAGGTACACAAAAACGAGAGTTTGAAGCCTGCGCAGCGAGTGACTCCGACTAAGCTGGATCGATACAGTTTCAAAGGTCACCTTCATATCGACATAAACAATGTCAGGGTCGAAACTCCCATACATAAGGGTGAGGAAAGAAATAAGATAATCTTCTTTGTTTCTTACTTTCCCATCTTTAACTTTTGGGTATGTCGTTATTCCTTATTTAACTTATCTGTCGAGCATAAGAAAAGGATGAGGGAAACTATCAAGGATGAAGCAGGACTTAGCCAGCTCAGGGTCGAAGGGACCTCATCTAACCCTGCCCAGGTATGTGCTGCAAAAACAACCACCTTTGACATTGCGATGCTTATGCCTTTTTACTTTATTTATAATCTTCTTATATACTTTCCATACAAGTCGGTGACAATATGATCGAAGATACGTCTATCGCCATAACAATTGAACCTGTTAATGTAGAAGACCCGTCTCCAAAGCCTCCTCCACACAAAAAGAAGAACAGAGGTGTTGGAGTAAGGAAGATCCCGGTCATTCCTAAAGTGCCTCTCATTCCTAAAACCAAACAAGGGAAGAAATCCCTTGCTAGCAAAGTTGCAAAGGTTACCCCAGCGACTAGGAAATTAGCGTCGAATGAGAGTGTCAACTCCAATCCTGATGGTGAAGCTTTAAAGGTACCTTCACACTTTTATTTTCCTTATTATTATTTATTTTCTTTATTTTTATTAAATACTGAAAAGTACCTCGTTTGTAGGACCAACCACAAGCTCAACCTATGACGGCTTTGATTGATAACTCTGCGCTAACTAATAGTTCGTCAGTGCATCAACCTTCTGCTATTGTAGCCTCTATGGACGAAGTCAACAATCCTGTAGAAGTTGAAAACAACACTTCGCACTGATCCACTAATAAGGTGTCTCTTACACTCATCTTCTTCAATATTGACTTAGGAAGAGAGAAATTAGATGGATATGGACGACCATTCCCCGGAAAACACTCTTGGTAAAAAACAACCTCTACAAACCACTGAAAAATCTCAACCTGACA